ATGTTTTTTATTTGTTTCAATTACTATTATGAATTGATAGAGCAGTTTTCAATTGAGTGTCGCAAAACCAAAACCAAAGTTATCACTCTAGCCAATCACAAAAGACGCAGACAATCCAATGAACCAATCAAAACTCGAAGTAATCACATGTAGCTGACGCGAAGCGCGGGAAAACGTGTGCAAGCGAGTCACGATTAGTTTTGGTTTTACTTCTGATTGGATGAAAAAGTGGCGTGAGTTTGTGTCTGTTTGTGTCTTTCGACCCTCAAATGAAAACCGCTCTAAAACAGCTATTGAAACCTTTCCTTGTGCGTCACAATTCGGAGTTAAATTTACAACAAAGCGTATCAGGAAGCCACTAAGGTTTGATTTTCCTTCGTGATGTAGAAACTTCTGACCGCGATGGACAAAGAGACTGGGTCCAGTCGACTAAAGGAGATCGACACTGTACAGTTACTCGCTGAGAAGCATGGGAAATTCATTGACAAGCTTCGTGAGGCCAAGGTAAGGTATATTCACAGCAGATGTAATCCTCTATCGAGATCACAGCAGTATTTAACCTAACATGTTCTTTTTTTCTCTCTCTCTCTGTCTTCATAGACTGCTTCGTTCCTGGGTCCCATGGCTCAACTGTGCCACAGGTACTCCAACCTCGCTCATACAGTATGGGTGGACCTGTTCCCTCAACTGTGGAATCTGCTGACTGAGAAACAACAACAAGTAAGTTACGAAATATTGTGAATTAAAAATAATATAGGAAAATTCCTTACAAGAATTACAAGAACCTGTTGAGCTATGGTATTCTCCAAATACCTCTTACAACGAAATAGTTAAACTAGAAAACAGTGATGCATTATAGTTTCTTTTCTGCGGTTGTTTACTCGCGTGTGTTGCAGGTTCTCGCTGGTGAGATCAGTCCGTTCATGTGCAGTGGAAGTCACTTGGTTCAACTTGATACTTTTCCCAGTTCAGTTCACACCATTCTTGAAGGCGTGTCCAAGTGTAGCCCCTCTGTACCTATCCGGCCCTGTATTCTCAAGGTAGGTTCATTGGTTTACACTTGCTTAACCTTTTTGTTTCCAGAGACAACTTGCAGCCGTGGATAAGATAACAGGATTGTGGTTCGAAATCGAGTCTGGATGAAACAGTAACTGGGACTGTTTCAATGAAAGCGAGTGGAAATTACTTTCCAAAGATACTGTGAATCTTTCTCAAACCAAAGTTCTGCAAAATCTCTCAATTTTATGCTTAGCCACTTGTACTTATCCTCATACTCTTTGTCAATATTCGTGTCAAGTGCTATTTTGATGCAGTTTTATTCACATCAAGTGTTTGTGTTTTGTAGTATCTTGGTAAAACTCATAACTCGTGGCACCGTTCTGGGTTAATGCTTGAGGACTACGCCAGTCTGTGTGAAGAATATTCCAATCATCAGATTTCACATCAGCAGCAACAAGTGATCGATTTCTCGCCTTTTGAAGAGGATCCATCAGAGATAAACCAACATGTATGTAAACAAGTTGAGTTGTTTGTTGGTTTGTAGTTCAAGTTTTTTGTTCGTGTGTTTTTTGTTGTCCCTCTCAGCGCCTCTGCTTGTCTGTTTGTTAATATCTATGTGGAATAATCTTGATTTGTAATTCAATGAAATCTGCTCGCTTTTTTTAGCCGTGTTTGAACTTCTCCACTCAGAATATCTTCAATTTTTTTCTGACTACAAGACGTCATCGTTGAGAGCTCAGTTTTCTAAAACCATAGTTTATGCTAAAACGTTGTAAGAGATTTACAAAATTGAAAGCCTGTTAGACATGAGGCATGCTGAAAACGTTAAGCTCGCATTTTCAAGATTGTTCACATTACAATCCATTTCCATTTAGCGATCGTTAGTCGTTCTCACTTTGTAATGTGTTCCTGTAATTTGTCCAGTGCTGTTCTGCAAAATCAAAGCACTATTGTTGGGTCTACAGTGGTTGACAATTCTGCATTCATTATTATTTATAACTCATATGAAATATTACTGTTTGTAATCAGGAAACTCTGGATGCACTAGCCGAGATGTATTCACTGCTGAATGAAGAGGACATGTGGGCCGGCTTGTGGCAGCAGCGCTGTCGGTATCCAGAAACAGCCACTGCTATCGCTTATGAGACTCAAGGCTTCTATGAACAGGCGCAGTCTGCTTATGAAGTGGTAAGAGCCATCGCATGCATGTGGAACATTGTAATAGCGTGACAAGCTTCGTGAGTAGGGACGTTGCGTGACTAGGCAAGATATCTTTCTTGCTTGAACCACTTGTGCTCGTGGCTAGTCATGTGCATCGCGAGCCTGTTGCACCAGCGAGCTTGTTGCAGTTGGAGCGTTCATCGGTTTGCAAGAAGGAAAGTGAAAGGGCTTACATCAAGAACGCTAAATTGAAATCTTCTCATTCACGTCTCGTACAAGCGACTTTGCTCGAAGTTCAGCTGTGCTCTCTGGTCACTGTATTTTGTACCTTTCGATGCCCTTGTTTCATCACAAATCTTGCGGCCTTTGATGAAGAAAATGTAGGATTACTGTCACTTCCCAGAGACAGAGTTAATTTGTACGGGCTTGACTGACTTTACTGTACGTTTTCTTACTTTCTCTGAAGGTGATGAGCAAGGCTCGTGAGGAGCATAACCGTGGCCCCGCCAACCCTCAATTGACGTCAGAATACAATTTGTGGGAAGAACATTGGATCAGGTAAATAGATTTTCCCAGAAGAAGGTTTTACGAGTATTTGAATTGTCTTTCTGAAACAGGAATTGTTAGACTCGAGTTTATCTTTAGTTTTTTTAGCTTTGGATGGCATGCATTCCCGTTAGCAATGTGTTAACTCTAATCTCCATGCCAAGTGGAATCAGAATGTAATATCTCCTTATAATAACTAGAAGAAATGTACAGAGATCGTGAAGGAGAATTTGATATTGACAAGGTGGCTTCTTTCCTGTTTCAGTTGTTCCAAAGAACTCGGTCAGTGGGATTTATTGATGGAATTTGGAAAAACAAAGGGCCATGCAAATCCTTTCCTTGGTAAGTTTATGTGACATTTCATTGTCTCGAGATTGTTTATTTCATGCGTTAGTTATGATCAGTGTAAGCTTTGGACGAATTTTTTGCCGACAAGCGTTTCGTTGAAGTTTCTTTGTTTTGAAGCCATTTTACGCTGCGTATGATTTGCACTGAGTTATGTCTGGCGTTGTTGTTATCTGTCAGTTATACATGTTATAAAGCTGTTATATTTCTCTTATTTTAGTGCTTGAGAGCGCATGGCGAGTCCCTGAGTGGTCATCAATGAAGGACGCTCTAGCTCAGGTGCACATTGAACAGTTCTTTTGCTTCAAACAAATAGTTTTATTTATTTTCCTTTCACGTTATTCACTTTTTGCTGGTTTATGTTACAACTCACGTTACAGGTTGAAGTCAACTTCCCAGAATCCATTGCATACAAGTTAAACTTATATCGAGGCTACATTGCCATTTGTCACCCAGACGATCAACATCTTAACATGGTATGTACTATTTACTTCCTGTCAAGTTAATGTCTAGGCTTCTTGACACGTCACGGATGTCACGCAAGTACTACTTTGCTTACCATGCTAGGACTCTGGAAACGTCACGGATGTCACGCAATCTCTAAGCAGCGCTGTTTCAGAACACTGATGTTACTGTCACGTTTTGTGTTACAGGTGGACAAACTTGTGGAGCATTCCACTACTCAAGCAATCCGTCAGTGGAGACGACTCCCTCCTGTGATCTCACAACAACACATTCCTTTGTTACAGGTGGGTTGATCTGAATGTTTTGTTTTTTCCTGCTATATTTACTATTGTTTTTCCAATGTTGCTGCTTATTGTTATTGCTGTTATTTTCAGGCAGCACAACAAATCATGGAACTGCAGGAAGCCGCTCAGATTCATACGGGACTTCAGCCTCCGAATGTTGGACGATCAACCAGTCTACATGACATGAAAGCTATTGTGAAAACATGGCGGTGAGAATTTACTTCCAGTTATTGCCTTAAAATATAGTTTTTGAATTATCCACCACAACTATTGTAAATTTGTGTTTGATTTTCACATTTAGTAATCGCCTTCCCATGCCATCTGATAATTTATCACACTGGAGTGACGTGTTTATGTGGAGACATCATCATTATCAGGCGATTGTGGCAGCATATGAGAGTCAAGCCCAACATGAACCGGTCAGTCAACACTTGCTTATCGTCCTGTTAATGCATGGTTATTTTCCTTGTTTCTGATTAGTAAATAGACACTTATCTTTCTTTCTGGTCTGTAAATATATCCTTATCTTCCTTTCTGAATGCATCATCCTTTCATCATCCTATCATCCTTTCTGATCATTGAATTTACACTTATCTTCCTTTGCAGTCCGTTGCAAATAAAGGCTTCATTCTATTGAAAAAAANATGCGGACACGTGGGCAGCACATGTGGCTTTTCACGTGGGCAGCACATGCGGCTTTGCACGTATAATAACATTAGCCGCGAGAGAACTGGTTACCATATCCAAAAATAACTTCTGGATATAAGGCTAACACGAGGGATGAACTCTCTCACTCTTCATCTTCTCTTGCTGTATCAAATATCGTGGTATGTTTGTTTAAGTCAATGTTTCTCTTCAGACTCAGCTGACAATTCAGCGACTGCCGACACTCAGAGAGAAGTCCTTGTTGTTGGTCCGAATGATGGTTAATTACGAGAAGAGGTTTCCAGAAGATTTTGAATTACAAGCACAGTTCTTAGAGCTTGTCAATTATGTCTACAGGTTAGAGAATGAAGAGAATTTTACTTCGAAATTTATCTAAGTTTTGCATGGCTAATTTGACCTGTAAAATGAAAACAGTTTTAATAATAATATAATATAATAATAATAATATTATTATAATTATTCAGGTTCAGTGGCGCTTTACAAGAAATTAAATCTATAAACAAATACCTATTGTAAAAAGTTAAGAAAATGTCAAAAACAGATAAAAAATGAAAAGATATGTAATTAACTTAAAAAATGCTTATTTAAAAAGCTACGTTTTCAGTTTACTTTAAAAAATGTTCATGGAAGACGAGTCTTTAATATCTTTTGGAAGTACGTTCCACACAGTTGGAGCCGAGACCGCAAATGAACGGCCCCCGTGGCCTTTTAAATTGAAAATTTTAATTCTTTTAAAAAATATAAATTTAACTTCTATAAGCATTTGCTGTTGCAAGGTTACATTTGAATTGTAAAACAATACTACAGTTTTATTGCTTAGGCATTTAATTTATCAATGAAATACAGATATCCATTATTCGGGGAACAATGCAAATATACACGTGTTTACAATATGAACTCTGCTAATAGTTATAAACACAAGCGTGAAACTATACACAAAAGTTGATGCTTTTAAGTGTTTACTTTGTAAACATTTTATTTGTGTTTATTTGCAGAGATGAGACCCTGGTGAGCACTGAACTGGCTTCCAAACTTGAGCCTGCATTTTTATCTGGTCTGCGATGTATCCAGCCACAAATCCGATCAAGATTTATGGAAGTAAGACACTGTTTATGTTAGTTAGTCTGTTAGCACTAAGTTGGTAACCTCTCCTGGCTGACTGTCATGCAAGTCGTTGGTAATTTTTTTAAACCAATCGGGTGGCGTAGTAAGTGCAATACCAAGACACTCAAATGAAAACCGCTTTAACAAGAAATCGTGGAATTAATGTTTTCGAATTTGGACACAAGTGGATAAGCGAAAGATTTAGAATCCTGTGTTTTAATGATCAAGAAAACACATTGACGTTGCGAAGTTTGAATTTGATGACATGTTTGATTCCTTTATCACAGGTTTTTGATAAAACAATGAAGAAGAAGTTGTACGATCGACTGCTTTATATCTTCTGTTCTCAGGTAAGATTATTTGACGTCCTTCAGCTTCATCGCGGTGCGTGACTCTTAATTGCGGGAGGGCTTTTTTCTTAATATGGTCACGCGTGTAATGTTTACTAATCCACCCGCGTCCACACTAATCCGTTACGAAAGCGGAGCTTTTCGAAAACCCTCTACAAACCGGAGGAAATTGAAAAGGCCGGCTTTGCATTTTCTTGTGGACGGAAAACATTTTGAAAACGGGGCTCTTCGAATATGATGAAATTTCTTTTGGCTCGTCTTACAGAACTGGGAAGCAATGGGCCCTCACTTCTGGATTAAGCAGTGTATTGAGGTACGTAACGACACATGTTGGCTTCAAGCAGAGCCATTTTGTACTATGTCAGTAGGAGCTATGTCGCAATTCCCATCTAATGGCCAATTTTGTCTTGTTCCAGCTTCTTCTGGCCGTGTCTGCGTGCGAGAGGCCCGTAACACCTTCCAGTACATTCAGTATGCTTCCATCAGTGACGTCATTCCTCCGGGCCGCAGACAACCAACTGAGTAAGGAAATTCTGAAGCATGCTCAGGAGAAGGCTGCAGTCTCCGAGGAAAACAAAGAGGAAAAGATGGAGACAGACACCAGTGCTGCCGAGAACAACAAAGAAAAAGACGCATCGCTTTGCCTTTTTGAGATTGACGATTCTGAGGTACATATTAATTAGCAAACAAATTGTTAAATTCCCCATGGAGAAATTAAGACACGTCATAATACAGACGTTTAAGAATGCAACCATTTCCAGTGATTCCAACCCCGACCAGAATGTTTTTTATTTGTTTCAATTACTATTATGAATTGATAGAGCAGTTTTCAATTGAGTGTCGCAAAACCAAAACCAAAGTTATCACTCTAGCCAATCACAAAAGACGCAGACAATCCAATGAACCAATCAAAACTCGAAGTAATCACATGTAGCTGACGCGAAGCGCGGGAAAACGTGTGCAAGCGAGTCACGATTAGTTTTGGTTTTACTTCTGATTGGATGAAAAAGTGGCGTGAGTTTGTGTCTGTTTGTGTCTTTCGACCCTCAAATGAAAACCGCTCTAAAACAGCTATTGAAACCTTTCCTTGTGCGTCACAATTCGGAGTTAAATTTACAACAAAGCGTATCAGGAAGCCACTAAGGTTTGATTTTCCTTCGTGATGTAGAAACTTCTGACCGCGATGGACAAAGAGACTGGGTCCAGTCGACTAAAGGAGATCGACACTGTACAGTTACTCGCTGAGAAGCATGGGAAATTCATTGACAAGCTTCGTGAGGCCAAGGTAAGGTATATTCACAGCAGATGTAATCCTCTATCGAGATCACAGCAGTATTTAACCTAACATGTTCTTTTTTTCTCTCTCTCTCTGTCTTCATAGACTGCTTCGTTCCTGGGTCCCATGGCTCAACTGTGCCACAGGTACTCCAACCTCGCTCATACAGTATGGGTGGACCTGTTCCCTCAACTGTGGAATCTGCTGACTGAGAAACAACAACAAGTAAGTTACGAAATATTGTGAATTAAAAATAATATAGGAAAATTCCTTACAAGAATTACAAGAACCTGTTGAGCTATGGTATTCTCCAAATACCTCTTACAACGAAATAGTTAAACTAGAAAACAGTGATGCATTATAGTTTCTTTTCTGCGGTTGTTTACTCGCGTGTGTTGCAGGTTCTCGCTGGTGAGATCAGTCCGTTCATGTGCAGTGGAAGTCACTTGGTTCAACTTGATACTTTTCCCAGTTCAGTTCACACCATTCTTGAAGGCGTGTCCAAGTGTAGCCCCTCTGTACCTATCCGGCCCTGTATTCTCAAGGTAGGTTCATTGGTTTACACTTGCTTAACCTTTTTGTTTCCAGAGACAACTTGCAGCCGTGGATAAGATAACAGGATTGTGGTTCGAAATCGAGTCTGGATGAAACAGTAACTGGGACTGTTTTAATGAAAGCGAGTGGAAATTACTTTCCAAAGATACTGTAAATCTTTCTCAAACCAAAGTTCTGCAAAATCTCTCAATTTTATGCTTTACCACGTGTGCTTATCTTCATGCCCTTCGTTTATATTCGTGTCAAGTACTATTTTGATGCAGTTTTATTCACATCAAGTGTTTGTGTTTTTTGTAGTATCTTGGTAAAACTCATAACTCGTGGCACCGTTCTGGGTTAATGCTTGAGGATTACGCCAGTCTGTGTGAAGAATATTCCAATCATCAGATTTCACATCAGCAGCAACAAGTGATCGATTTTTCGCCTTTTGAAGAGGATCCATCAGAGATAAACCAACATGTATGTAAACAAGTTGAGTTGTTTGTTGTTTTGTAGTTCAATTTTTTTGTCCGTGTGTTTTTTGTTGTCCCTCTCAGCGCCTCTGCTTGTCTATTTGTTAATATCTATGTGGAATAATCTTGATTTGTAATTTAACGAAATCTGCTCGCTTTTTTAGCCGTTTTTGAACTTCTCCACTCAGAATATCTTCAGTTTTTTTCTGACTGCAAGACGTCATCGTTAAGAGCTCAGTTTGCTAAAAGGTTGTGAGAGATTTACAAAATTAAAAGGCCTGTTAGACATGAGGCATGCTGAAAACGTTAAGCTCGCATTTTCAAGATTGTCCACTTTGCAATCATTTCCATTTAGCGATCGTTAGTCGGTCTCACTTCGTAATGTGTTCCTGTAATTTGTCCAGTACTGTTCTACAAAATCAAAGCACTATTGTTGGGTCTACAGTGGTTGACACTTCTGCATTCATTATTATTTATAACTCATATGAAATATTACTGTTTGTAATCAGGAAACTCTGGATGCACTAGCCGAGATGTATTCACTGCTGAATGAAGAGGACATGTGGGCCGGCTTGTGGCAGCAGCGCTGTCGGTATCCAGAAACAGCCACTGCTATCGCTTATGAGACTCAAGGCTTCTATGAACAGGCGCAGTCTGCTTATGAAGTGGTAAGAGCCATCGCATGCATGTGGAACATTGTAATAGCGTGACAAGCTTCGTGAGTAGGGACGTTGCGTGACTAGGCAAGATATCTTTCTTGCTTGAACCACTTGTGCTCGTGGCTAGTCATGTGCATCGCGAGCCTGTTGCACCAGCGAGCTTGTTGCAGTTGGAGCGTTCATCGGTTTGCAAGAAGGAAAGTGAAAGGGCTTACATCAAGAACGCTAAATTGAAATCTTCTCATTCACGTCTCGTACAAGCGACTTTGCTCGAAGTTCAGCTGTGCTCTCTGGTCACTGTATTTTGTACCTTTCGATGCCCTTGTTTCATCACAAATCTTGCGGCCTTTGATGAAGAAAATGTAGGATTACTGTCACTTCCCAGAGACAGAGTTAATTTGTACGGGCTTGACTGACTTTACTGTACGTTTTCTTACTTTCTCTGAAGGTGATGAGCAAGGCTCGTGAGGAGCATAACCGTGGCCCCGCCAACCCTCAATTGACGTCAGAATACAATTTGTGGGAAGAACATTGGATCAGGTAAATAGATTTTCCCAGAAGAAGGTTTTACGAGTATTTGAATTGTCTTTCTGAAACAGGAATTGTTAGACTCGAGTTTATCTTTAGTTTTTTTAGCTTTGGATGGCATGCATTCCCGTTAGCAATGTGTTAACTCTAATCTCCATGCCAAGTGGAATCAGAATGTAATATCTCCTTATAATAACTAGAAGAAATGTACAGAGATCGTGAAGGAGAATTTGATATTGACAAGGTGGCTTCTTTCCTGTTTCAGTTGTTCCAAAGAACTCGGTCAGTGGGATTTATTGATGGAATTTGGAAAAACAAAGGGCCATGCAAATCCTTTCCTTGGTAAGTTTATGTGACATTTCATTGTCTCGAGATTGTTTATTTCATGCGTTAGTTATGATCAGTGTAAGCTTTGGACGAATTTTTTGCCGACAAGCGTTTCGTTGAAGTTTCTTTGTTTTGAAGCCATTTTACGCTGCGTATGATTTGCACTGAGTTATGTCTGGCGTTGTTGTTATCTGTCAGTTATACATGTTATAAAGCTGTTATATTTCTCTTATTTTAGTGCTTGAGAGCGCATGGCGAGTCCCTGAGTGGTCATCAATGAAGGACGCTCTAGCTCAGGTGCACATTGAACAGTTCTTTTGCTTCAAACAAATAGTTTTATTTATTTTCCTTTCACGTTATTCACTTTTTGCTGGTTTATGTTACAACTCACGTTACAGGTTGAAGTCAACTTCCCAGAATCCATTGCATACAAGTTAAACTTATATCGAGGCTACATTGCCATTTGTCACCCAGACGATCAACATCTTAACATGGTATGTACTATTTACTTCCTGTCAAGTTAATGTCTAGGCTTCTTGACACGTCACGGATGTCACGCAAGTACTACTTTGCTTACCATGCTAGGACTCTGGAAACGTCACGGATGTCACGCAATCTCTAAGCAGCGCTGTTTCAGAACACTGATGTTACTGTCACGTTTTGTGTTACAGGTGGACAAACTTGTGGAGCATTCCACTACTCAAGCAATCCGTCAGTGGAGACGACTCCCTCCTGTGATCTCACAACAACACATTCCTTTGTTACAGGTGGGTTGATCTGAATGTTTTGTTTTTTCCTGCTATATTTACTATTGTTTTTCCAATGTTGCTGCTTATTGTTATTGCTGTTATTTTCAGGCAGCACAACAAATCATGGAACTGCAGGAAGCCGCTCAGATTCATACGGGACTTCAGCCTCCGAATGTTGGACGATCAACCAGTCTACATGACATGAAAGCTATTGTGAAAACATGGCGGTGAGAATTTACTTCCAGTTATTGCCTTAAAATACAGTTTTTGAATTATCCACCACAACTATTGTAAATTTGTGTTTGATTTTCACATTTAGTAATCGCCTTCCCATGCCATCTGATAATTTATCACACTGGAGTGACGTGTTTATGTGGAGACATCATCATTATCAGGCGATTGTGGCAGCATATGAGAGTCAAGCCCAACATGAACCGGTCAGTCAACACTTGCTTATCGTCCTGTTAATGCATGGTTATTTTCCTTGTTTCTGATTAGTAAATAGACACTTATCTTTCTTTCTGGTCTGTAAATATATCCTTATCTTCCTTTCTGAATGCATCATCCTTTCATCATCCTATCATCCTTTCTGATCATTGAATTTACACTTATCTTCCTTTGCAGTCCGTTGCAAATAAAGGCTTCATTCTATTGAAAAAAACAACAACAACAACACCATAGAAAGCGTTGTACTCATTCTCGTTTAGTGGTTCGTGTTCATGACAGAAACTAGTCACTGATTTTTCTTAAACCATTTCAATTTGTTTCCTCCACTTGCTGTAATTGTTCAGTTGTTCTGATGCTCTATGTTTCACTAAGTTATCCTTGAAGCTAAATAATGCATCATACTTCATATTTTAACAACGGCTTTTTACAAAGCAGCAGAGTAACCACTCCATGCTTGGTGTCCACGCCTCTGCCTGGGCCATTATTCATTATGGTTACATAGCAAGAAAGCAAGGCCTGACGGGAGTGTGTTTGGACTCGCTGAGCAGGTTTGTGCGGACATTTTGTGCTAGCCAACATGACAAACCAAACAACGCGGTTAATTCACGCCAAATGTTCTTTTCAGAATCCACACGATTCCCAGCGTTCCTATCGTGGACTGTTTCCAAAAGATCAGACAACAGGTTAAATGTTACCTGCAGATGGCTGGCGGCATGGGCAAGCAAGAGTTACAAGAGGTTAGCGGCATTTGTATAGCTCTAACTTCGGTGGTGTTTGCACCCTTAGTAAACTAATGTTCAGCTAGGAGTTGTTCAGTTTGAAGGTTATTTTTTATGTAATCAAAACGGACTTACCGGTAATCAATTGTTGTTCGTTACAATAGAACTGCACCTTTAACCAACAGTTACTTTGCAGAACTGAACTTTTTCATTCGCTACAGTACGACTCCAGTTTTAAGTCTGATGTTACAAGATTTTGTCTCCATTTGGTCATACATCTTTCAAGTAACAAAGTTTAAATTATCAGGCTTAATTTTTGGCTCTCGTTTTTCTAGTTGCTTATCGGTATTTTCATTTACTGTAACAGTGTTTTTAAATATATTTCAAAGCTGTAGTGTGAAGTCTCCAAATCATCCTAAAGGAGCTGCTAAGGATTTACTTTGTTTTCTTTCTTCTTGCAGGGTCTTGAAGTTATCGAGTCCACGAATCTAAAATACTTTTCCAAGGAAATGACGGCTGAGTTCTTTGCCCTCAAAGGAATGTTCCTCGCACATATTGGCAGGTAAATCAAGCCGTGGTGAAATAGGGGAGGGGAACAAATGTTAATTGGCAATGTTTAAGGTGGCTGAAAACAGTAGTATTTCCGTGAGACGCCTGGGCTCTAGCGCAGTTCAGCGCGAGTCATCACGCG